AGATTCTGTCCAGAGCTCTTCCAAGTGAGCACAGAAAGCCTGACAGGGAGAGGTGCAATGAAACACTGAAACTCCTGCACTGCTGAGCCAATGCAGGCCCACTTCCATGAAGCCCAGTGCTAGCACACTCAGACTCTGAAATCAGACACCTAAATGTGTGTTGACTGCTGCTCTCACATTCTGTATACTTAGTCCAGCTGCTTGAAGTTTTATCTGAATTTAAGCAACCTGGAAGTGGATGCCAACCAGTTAGACACTTAGTTTTCCTCCCACTGCAAAGCTGCCAGAAGCTTCTTGCAGGATTAATGCAGAAGCTCAGCACTGAGGGACAAACTGTGCTGCTAGTTGAAGGCATAAACAAGCCAGAGCACACACAAAGCCAGGAAAAAGCTCTCACAACTGTCTACCCTGAAGCACTGATCTAAACAGCTCAAGCTACCCATGTCTGAAACTTCACTAGGGTCACAGGCTGTAAAAAGAGATGTTAACTGCAGATGCCTCAGGATAAATTCATTCCCACTAGAAAGAACACAGAGTATTCAGCTCTGCTGCTAGTGCTGAGAGGTTTGGCAGAGAGCTTTGGCTTAAAAGAGATATGAGACTGTACCTATGTTTCCAGACTCTCCTGCATTATTTATTTTCCCGAGCATTATTGGCCAAAATACAATCCCAGAATTATTTTTCACTTATGTTATGTTTCCAGACTCTCCTGCATTATTTATTCTCCTGAGCATTATTGGCCAAAATACAATTCCAGAATTATTTTTCATTCCTTATGTCTGCTAAGCCAAAGAGCAGAGCCATTTGGCAGTGCTGAAGTCACAGACCCCTGTGTAACACTTCTCCTCTGTGTGTTTCACACAAGAGTTTGATACCTTCACAATAGGAAACTAGCCTTTCCAGACTCTCCTGCATTATTTATTCTCCTGAGCATTATTGGCCAAAATACAATTCCAGAATTATTTTTCATTCCTTATGTCTGCTAAGCCAAAGAGCAGAGCCATTTGGCAGTGCTGAAGTCACAGACCCCTGTGTAACACTTCTCCTCTGTGTGTTTCACACAAGAGTTTGATACCTTCACAATAGGAAACTAGCCAGAGCAAAGGACATGCTTCTCCTCTTCTCTGAGCAAAGGTAACTACCCCTTCCCCCACATTTATGTATTATAAGTAAAAAATAAAGCAGTAAGTACAAGTTGCTACTGATAGAATTGCTTCCTGTTTCCAGCTTGTAGCTCCCACTGAAAATTGCTACTTGAAAAATAAAGAGAAGGAGAAGAGCTTTTCAGACATGTGTTTCTTCACATGTGACAGGATAGCTGTCACATATGAAAAGCCTGTACTTAACCTGGAATTATGTTTTAGAAAGATAAACCCAGCAGCTACTTAACAAATGCTGCTTTCATCCTGAATTGCTCAGAAGCTCTGAAGAGGTCATATTAGCACCAAATGAGATGGTTCTAATCAGGGGTATAACAGCAAATTTATAATGAATGCAAAACTAAGTGGTCATCTGGGATGAGGATTTAAGCCTCTTGGAAGATAATAGAAAACAATTTCAAACTTTTTCTTTTCAGCACCTGCTGAAGAAGGGCGTCCCTGAAGGAAGAAAAGCTGTCCCTTTATATGGTGAGAAAAATCAGAACTTAGGGCACATCTGATAGTACCTTGCTGAGTTTAAAGTTTCAAAGTAATAGGACTTAATGAAAGCTCATTTTCTATTTCCAGGTCTGGTTCCTGCCCTGTGGACTTGTGTCCAGCCTGAGATCAGCCTGCTCCCACGCAACGTCCTGCCAAAGCTCACAGATTTCAGCACCACTATTTGTTCCTCCAAGCACTGGTTTGGGACAGGACACTTTAGTGGGTAAGCCCAGCCTAATGGAGCTATGCTTTTAATTGCACAGCTGCACTTCTAGGGCAACTCCATCAGAGATGAATTCGGTAATGGTGAAATTTCTGAATTACCAAAATGGTAATATGGAGCAGAATTTGGTTTTCCAGAGAGGAAGGGAAGCTAGTGGCTTCCCTTCTGCATAGCAGGTGGGGGACCATTTTCCTTGAGATGGTTTACACCATGGTAAACCAAGACAGAATGCTGGAAACAGGAGAAGGGACACTGACAGAAGCATAAAAGCTTAAGGACTGTGTGTTTGCTTCAAGAAGATTCAGGAAGTGTAGCTCGGATTTGCTATAGACACCATCCTTGCTGGGGCCAAATACACATTTCATGTACACATCCAGGTAAAAACACTAGTTATCTGATAACTTTTGGACTGTATAAACTGAGTGTACAATATGAATGTTCTCCCATTCTGCTTTTGTGAACTAGTTTTAGCATAAGAATATTTTTTGCACTTACCTGTAAATAGTTTTGTGGTTTTCATAGGTCCCATTTGAAGTGTTCTCTGAACATAATCAATATTAACACAAGGTTACCAGAGGCTTCATAAATTTCTGACAACTGTATTGGAGTTTTGCTGGGCAAAATTATGTAAAAATTCATCTAAATTACATTTCAGAGGTGAAGTCTTGAGACAGTGATTGATATGGTAACTAGGAATAGTACTTCTAAAAAAATTCAGCTGAAAGAAAACTACCATTCACATCAGCAAAATACTACTCCAGATCTTTTTCAAATCAGCATTTTAGTCATTGGAACCTAGTGGCTGACTGATGCATTGGGGGTAAAAAAAAAATCATTGCTCTTAGTCCAGCCCCAGATGAAATGGTCACAAACCATTTCATAGTGGTTTTTGGATACAGTTACATAATCATTCCAAATAAATGCCTTGGAGACTAAATTACCACTGATCCCTAAACCTGGAAGCACAACAGGGCTATACCTACTCTCCAGAATATCTCTTTCTTGTCCTAAATTAACCCAAATCTGTCTTTTAAATATTACACCATATCCTGCATTTTTATGTAATAAATATATTTAAAAGTTTCAGGCAAAATTTTAAAAGTTCTGTTTTTCGTAACTGCAGGACACCAATTAATGTAGACAAGTAATGCAGTACATTTGAGAACTGCAGAAATACATTGCCAGTAATGACAAGGAGAACATGGTGCAGATCAGCAGATAAATCATGCTCTAGAAAATTCATATCCTTCACCAATTTCAGTAAATGTTTTTTTTGCTGTACCTGTATAACCCAGTGCAGAGAAAAGAAATGTCATTACTGAAAAAGGCAGACAGGGTATTAGGCTATCAAAAAGATGAGCTGGGCATCAAATCCCTAAATATACAGATCAAATGTTTCCATGTTCCTGTGGGTCCACATAACTTGCCAGTGTAGACATAAGTTCTTCTGTCTGTAGAGGGACTTAGCTTACATGTCTTAAATTAAGTGGAAGAGGAATGGAAAATCAGTTCCTCCATTGTCAAGCACTTAAAGCCTTCATGTAAACATTTTTCTTAATTGTTGAACTTTTAGTATTGAGCCTTGTTGTCATGGTATTCACCTATTCCTAGTTAATACAGTTTATAATTCTCTTTTTGTAATTAATGTGAGATAAAAGAAGCTCCTATCAAGAAAATCATAAAAGCCTATGGTATTACTTCTCTCACATTAGGAGTTTATTCATGTAAATAAGAACTTCTGCTCTTATTCTGCATGAGCTAAATTCCACTTGGAGTACATTTCGCCAGCAGGTGTTTGTGTTTAACTTAAGAGAAAATTTTTCTGTTTTCTACTGCATTTAAATATTGATTTATATCTCCTGTACTTCAACTGATGCTTATAGATAATCAAAAAAGATTACCTTGTTCTCTTGTGATTGCTTTACAGCACACAAAACAAACTGGCTGCCCAGTTTGCTGTTTTCTTCTTCTTTGTAGTTACAGTACATCTCATTTTCCCATCACAAGGAAACAACAGCACAAAAATAGCTGAAATGTCAAAAAAAGAAATTATTTGCTTGTCAGTAGCCATTTGTGTGCACTGGACCTCTGTACCAAGATGACAAATATCACTCTAGGCTCTAAGTGATCATTATCAGTCAATTTAGAACTGGATTAAAAGTGCACTAGGAGCAAAGGCATCATGAAATACTGAAATAGCATAGAACTGAATGCAGTGATCATTATTTATATCAGAAGCAATGTATGGATAGCAATCTCTCCAAGTTTACAGCTCAGCTCAAAGATGGAATATAGACAAATTTTTCAGCAGTTTCAAGATTATCAAAAAATGCTTCCCTCACACTGCACTTAGGAGGAACCATAGGCAGGAATAACAACTAGCCTGCTGAGCATGCCATAACTTATTACCCTTATACCACTACAATAAACAAATTTATATCACAGTCACTGAGAAAATGAAGCCTGTATTTTAGTAGAGATTCAAAGCTGAATGTTAAAGAGAGAACAGTTATAAACGTACTCTGGTTCTGGTTATTACAGGGCATCTTTATTGGAACAAACGTCCATATCAATCACATGACTGAGAACAAAAAGTTTGGGTTTTTTTAGATTCAGCAGCTCAAGAATTCACAAATGATTAAGGCTTGTGAATTTTAAAAATTAATATCATTCCACTTTTCTAGAGTCTTGTATTATGGCACAATCTTCTTTTTTCTTTTTCTTTTTTTTTTTTTGTATTATTTGTCTTTATTGGAACAAACGTCCATATCAATCACATGACTGAGAACAAAAAGTTTGGGTTTTTTTAGATTCAGCAGCTCAAGAATTCACAAATGATTAAGGCTTGTGAATTTTAAAAATTAATATCATTCCACTTTTCTAGAGTCTTGTATTATGGCACAATCTTCTTTTTTCTTTTTCTTTTTTTTTTTTTGTATTATTTGTCTGCATTTCTTCTTTTTTCTTTTTCTTTTTTTTTTTGTATTATTTGTCGCTCCAGCATTTCACTTGCTTTAAGTTACAGTCCTTCCATTCAGATACATGAACCTGTCTTCAGTCTGTTCTTCAGATATCCCTATACATGCCTGCTTTGAAGGTGTTACAAAGTCTTGGAAAACTGTATTCTCAGCCTTGTTCCTAAGAGAGATAAGTGCACTTCCAGCTTCTGCACGAGGGGATTTTCCATTGTCAAAAGTATTTTCTTTTACAGTTGAGACAAATATGGTTTTTAGCAATGTTCTATAAAATAAGAACTAGTAACAAAAGTGAACATAATTGTATTATACCAAAAATTGATCATGCTCTAGTTATTTATCCATGTCACAACTGTACTTCAGAAGTAGCTAACACCAGCTATAAACAGACATATTGTTGAAGTAGTAGGCAGAATCTTGTAGGTGTCAAGTCAAATGGACATCTGGAAATATCAATGCAGAGCTTAAAGCAGAAGCACCTGGAGAAGAGTGGCTGATCCTGCAGCCCACATAACATTCCCTGCTCTGTAAGTTGCCCAAACGATCCTTAGAGTTTGGCAGGTCAGTTCAGTAAGGTTGTATTCAGTGAGACATCATTTAACTAATGACCATCTTCCACGAGCAACACGAGAGAAATTTTTAATATTTGTTTCAACCTCCTCTTTTCCATCCCTTCTCCAGCACAAGCATGTACATCATTTTATCAGGCCAAAAAGTAAATTTCCTAATGATTGAACCCTATCTCTTTTCTATCTGTTTAGTTCAGCCTCCAAAACCTGTACTTTTGTTTCCAAAGCTGTTACTTGTCTCTGCAAGTCATCAGTTACTATAACTGTGAGTTAATGTGGTTGTCTAGCAATTTCTATTAAAATGACTGCACGATACCTGTCTCCAAGATGCTTAGCTCTCCTGTAATATGATGCCATGTGAGAGAATTATTTGGTTTCCAGAGCAGAAATCACAGGACACACTGCAGATTTGTTCATGGGAATTTGTCCAGCTGGGACAGCCTAATCCCTGACTGTTATGAATGCTTGGATAGGCTTTGAATTTTCAGGGATGCTAAAGTCATCTCCTATTCAGAGGGAAAAGCCCAGATCTCAAAGGCAAAATGCACATGGAAACATCTTTAAATTAATTAAAGTAAATAACACACAAACAGGCAAAGAATGAGAAAAGAAAAAATGCTGTTTATAACATGAGATAGAGGGTTTGGCATTTCACTCCCAGACAACAATAAACTGGTGACTCATTCCAGACATTTCATCCCCCAGTTATGTTGGGCAACTCATCATCTATGTAACAGATGGTTTAATTGTCTGCTCCTCATGCTTCTGGAAACTGCACCTCACCTTTCTTCAAACGATACTATAGGAATATAAGATATTAACACAAATATTTTTTTGAAAATATACTGAGAGGTTGAAGAACAGATTGTAGAAACATGAGAAATTGATTTCTTACTTCCATATTCTCCTTTTTCCTCCTTTCTCTTCTTGTGGTTCTAAAGCTTCTTTAATTCCTGGACGTTCCACTTTTCCAGGGGAACTCTGTAGGCCTCTCATTTCTTCTCCTAGATTTTGATTCAAAAGAAATTTTAAAAAATGTTTTCTAAATTTTTCTTGCACTATGTTTTCTTAGTGCTTAGAGCGAGCACCAAACACTCCCTCCACCCAGCAAAGAAAATAAAAACATCTCAGGAAAATTGAATTGTTCTTTTGGAAAGCATCATTTGCCAGGAAATGCATTACTTTGATGAAAAAAGCCTTTACTACACCTACATACAGCACTGAAAAGCCAATGAAGTCAATGTTGTCTCATGTTGTTGAGGTACACATGCTCTCAAACCAGAAAGCCAATATACTCCAGCTGTAATCCAGTCACACATCACAGTATATGATCTAGAAAATGAGGTAAATTGTAAGATTAAGGATATCTCTCTGAAGCAATTTGTTGACAGATAGTGCTGGCTTTACTTATTTCCAGCATGGAATTGCAGAGGGCAGAATGAGGGGTATGTGGACCGGAAAACGTCGATACGGAATATCAATATATGCCTCTGAAATTCTGTGTCATAGTTCATATCAAGGGGTACTGATAATAAATGAGAGTTTTCTTGGAGGTTGAAAAGCAAGTATCTAATCCCAAAATGGGTGGTATAAATATGATAACACAGACAGGATATGGTAAGAAAATATACAACTCCGTATGTACTTATTAAGAGTTTGGACAGAAACTGATTTGGCAACTTGGGAGAGCAGGTGACTTGGTTCTACCACATGACAGAAAGTGCTTGCAGATCTATTTCCTGTTTGCAGCAGTGCATGAAAAAAGCTTGCCTGACAAATCATGCCTTGGGGGAATTCCATTGTTGGGACATAGAGAATATGAAGCAATCAGGTAATGACCATCAGATTAGCAGACAACCCTATCAAGCATGATTTCTGGTTTTAAGAGCTAGCCTCTGGAAAGAAAAAGCAATAATAATTTATTAGGGTATAGTAGGAAGTGATTCAGAGTACAAATGGTACAACCAGATAAAAATCTCATTACATCCCTATTTGTGAGCTGCTATGAAAATGTATAGGTTTGTCAATTTATTTATTTATTTACTTACTTACTTACTAAAAGCCAAGTATCTAGAGTACCGTAATAAATGCAGAAAGGATTTTCAGCTTCCTGAAATTGTGCAGAGCCTACAAAAGGCTAATGGCTCAAAAGAAAAGAAGTAAAAAGGTGAAGTGAAAGATTGAAAGAGGCATGAAACAAGACTAAAGGGTTGATAAGGAGAGTCAAAACTACTGTGTTGCTAAATAGCTCTGTACCTCCCTTTGCACCTTTGGGACCATGTCTGTTTGGTAAGCCATTGACTGCAGGAGGAATGCACTGGTTTTCTGGGCAGGAATAAATTTTCTTTTCAGGTTTGTTTGTGTTAACTGAACCTGTTACCATCAACAGTGAATGTCAAGGTACCAGGGCACCGAAAGGCTGAAAAAGAATCACTGTTAAGTCCACAGATCTGTAACAAATCAAGCAGAGTAATTTAATAAATTTCTCCATTTACATCACTTTAAAGGGAAATACACTTCTGTCTTCATGCCAAAGACCAAACAAGGGATAATGTCTGAACCATTTCATGTAGCCTCTGTATCTGTATGTATAGAAACCCAAAAAGAAACATCCAGGCCTACAAGAATCTGAAAATCTCAAGGTATAATTAAAATACCTAATATAGCAACAGTCATCAATCTCACCTTGTAGCAAATGATTTTCAATGTTTTATTCATTGTATGCCTAAATTTAAAGCATTTATCTTTGTGCCAAATGAGTCATACAGTCTAACAGTTTGGGATGAATCCTTATCTCTCCAGCTACTGTGTTTCTGCTGGGACTCTCCACAGCTGTCAGGGTTGCATGTGGCTAAGTTTACAGTGATTAAGCTGTTTCTCTTGATAACATCTCCACTACTAGCAAACACCCACAGCTTAAAGGACAGAAAACTTAAGTATGTTTAAGAGGCAATGATCTGATTGCCTCCCCTATTTCTCCTTTCAGACCTTGTATATCAATAAGATCCATTTCTCCTCAGTATTACACCTCAGAGCTGAAGTCTTTGGATGCCAGATCTGCAATACTTTGCTGCCCTCTCTGAGCAGAACAGTAATAGACAGTAGCATGATAAGGTAAAGCTCTGCATGACATTCTGACAAGCTGCACCACAATAATTGCCCTTGTTTTCAATAGGAGGGCCAAATTTGAGGCAATCATGTCCCATGTATTTCATGTTTAACTTAAAAAAACCAAAATGAAACTACCATAAACATGAGCTGACAAGTTTACATAGTTAATAAGCCACACACTAAAGTCAAGTGCCCTTATTTTCTCCCTGTTTTACCATTCAAAATTTTAAAAAAAAGAAGCCTAGGGAAGCACAATTTGGGTAAGGAGAAAAAATCTCAAATACAGCATGAATTCTGCTACTCACCTCAATTATTTCTCTTTATTTTAACCTTCAGAAAAGATTTCCCACAGAGAGCAGCTTCCCCTGTCATGTTCCATCGGATAAAGTGCAATATAGTGTATAATCACTAGCATATTACTGTGAGAACATTATAATTAGGATAAAAAGCAGAGTTAAAGGAGCACCATTTTTCTATATACTTCTTTGTACTTCCTCCATTAGGCTCCTATCAAATTTTGGGGCAAGGCATACACAAAAATAAAATAAGGAAAGGTATTAACTAACTAGTATAACAAAATTTGAATCCTGGTTTGTATTTCTTACCCAGCTTCACGGACTCCAGCCAGTTCTTAACAGCTCTGCAAAGATTTCCTTCTGCTGAATTTCTATAATATGTCAATTATCCAGTACCAGGGAAGTTGACATTGCTGATGTCTCCCATGAAGGTAACAAGACAAAGCTCAAAATAATGACACAATAAAAGACAACTTCAAAACAACATGTAAACTCTCATATAAGTTCACTCCCTAAAGATTCAGCCTCACACAAATTTCTGTTGGTTTTCTGCCAGGAGCTAAGATCTGTTTACCTCCAAACTTTTCCAGGGTGATCACCCCAATACTTTATTCTAGGAGAGCCAAAGTGCCTGTTTGCCCATTGGCAAGGTAGTGATGGGAGTTCCTAGCAATTAAATCACTTTCCAAGGAGACTAATGACAATTGTCACCAAGAATGACATAGATGAAAAGCAAAACATTCCAAATTTCTCACAAAAATGGAGTAAATCTTAGGGAGCTGAAATAGAAAAAATGGGTTTTGCAATCCATATTTATATTGATAGAAGATAGAGAATCCCACAAGGAGAATCACACTATGTGTGGGTGTAACGACATTCTTCAGGTCCCAAGACTTACACAGTTGCAGATTTCTCAGCAGAGACCAGAGTTAGGCTTGAAAGATGCCCTGAAACTTCTATTTATGAGGTAGCTAGTTCTGGAGATCCTATTTAAAGACACAGATCTTAGATAAATCTTTTGTTCCTCCTTAAAAAGTGCTTTAGGACATGATTCTCCCAATGCAGGTAACAGCAGAGAAGGGAACCTAGGAGAGGCAGCAGGAAGTCTTTGCTTCAGACCTGGTCTTGGAGGTGACAGCTCTTAGTTATTAGCCCAAAAGCTAAGAGCCTGACAGCAGAGGACAGCCCTGTTAAAACTATGTACTAGGAAAACTGCTCCTCAAAAGCAGATATCACATTTATACACAGACTACTCAGGGGCAGAATGCTGTTAAACTTAGTTTCTCTCCTGCTAACAGTCCTCCTCATCAGCTTGCTGTGGGACAAGCCTGAAGTGTGGCAGCCTGCAAATGTCCTTTCTAACCATCATGTCTGCACCTGCAAGGGTTGCATGGCCTCAGTACAGTCACATACTTATCACAGCAAAAGACATCTTTACTTGCCAACACCTTTACTTGACAGTGAAACTCTTACTGCACCACTGCCTTGCCTGGCAGCCAGCACAACAGAATGCAGTAAAAAAGAAATGAATTTTTACCGTGAGGACAAGCCTGCCAAAATAAAAAGGTAAATCCTCTACGTTTCTATTACAACTTGCTGTCTTGTGCTTTGTTTTGGGAAGAGGTTGCTCACTGGCTTATCTGTCTTGCACAATCCTGATGATTGCCTACCTCAATCCTACCACCCCTATTTACAAGGGCTGTGTATGACCTTGTGGTAGTGAGCTCTTTGCCCTTTGCCTGGCCTTGGACAGACATTGGCTGTGTTACAGTGCAAATGAACAACTGAAAAATCAGCCCAACTGCAGGCACCAAAAGTTCTGACTGTAAGGTTTTTCCACTTTATTCAGTCAATGGATACATTTTTTCATAACCTAGGAGAGGGAAGGCTATTTGAGACTTGTTTAACTGCAGTGACTGCCTTTCCTGCAATAGTGCTTGCACTGTCCTGCTGGCCATGGTACCATTGTGTGTGGACATGGAAAGTATGGTAGCAAGAATAGTGTGTGTCAGGTAGCCTTGCAAAATTAGCATAAAATTTAACACTGAGGAGGAGATGTTTCAGCAATTCTGCTTGCATAAAATTTCTTTAGCCAGGGAAAGGCCTGTTGGACATCTTTGGCTGCAAAAATTCAAACTCTCCATCCCTGCAGCAGTGTGTGGAGGGATTTAATTCCCAAGATCCCATTTCTGGGGCTATTGTTCTCTGTTGTGGTGACATCAGAGAAAGATGTTGTAGGCTGTCAAACTGCCTTGTAGCTTGCCTGTTCAGGAGCTAGAATAAATTTAGTGTCTGTAACAATAAAATAAATATATCAGTTCAGAGCAGTGCTACTTGTCAGACATGGTTTGATACAAACATTGTAGAGCCAACATCATTACAAGGAGATCTGGAATTAATTAGAGATCTTTTTTGAAATAGGAAGCTGAAATTTCCATACTGACCTTTCCTATTTTGGCCAAGCAGCTAATGTGGTATCTATATGCTGTCAACACAGGGAATCCAGGGCTCAGCTCATATCCTTGTAAGCCACAGAAATGTCTGGTTTGTTGCATCACTGTTGAACTTCCCTGACAGTTGCTTGCCTGCAAAAGCAGAAATATGAAGCAGATAGGATTGTCAGCAATGGCCC